TGAAAGTTGGTTCCCCAAAATGACGATTTTGAAAGTTCGTTCCCCAAAATAGGAATCATGTGAAAATTGGTTCCATTTTGGTGCAATTTTCCCTTCTTTCAAAATTGGTAATTAGAACCAACGCATTTACTGTGTTTTTCTTACTTACCCGGCAAATAACAACTATTTCTTCAACATCTATCATTTGGAATGAAATTAAAAAGGAATGATAAATGCAAATCATATTCCAGATTATGCCGAAATTGAAGCATAAACAAATGAAAGTTTGACGACAACAAAGTACACCGAACCAGTAATATTTCTAAGTATTGAAATACTAACTAATCTAGCAATTCGAAGCAATTGCGTGTCATGACCGCTACACTGGCCACACATTGCACATTTTCGCTTTGTTTTTTTTTCTCTTTTAGACTATATTTTCTAAGGCACACTGACCAACCTCTTACCAATACCACAACCTTTGTTTCTTATTCTAGATGGTGGTAGAATGTGTACTTCATCAGGTATAGAAACACCAAGGTGATCTCTGATCGCATCCAACTTCTGTTAGGATGGGTCTTCATATGGTATTTCTTTTTCGATATCAACCATGAATTTGTCGAGAGTCTGCTCCAATCTAGCCAACATAAATTTATCATTACGAGCAATACTTATTATGTCGCCGACTTTGAAATAGACATCAATTATACACTTATCTTTCTCCGCATCCACCTCAACATATCGAATTCTTGCGAATTGTATCTGGACCGGGACTAATTGCCATTTCCATCGACGTAAAACGTATTTATTCAGAATACATTCAACGTCATCATTTATTAGAACCTTAAACGCATGACGACAGAGATAACAGTTACGCGTGAATAGATTGCACTCGCATTTGACCGTGTTAGCGGAGTAATTACATGACACCTACAATAAATACGTTATGAAAAACCACACAAGTAAACTAAAATGAAATGAATTAAAAAAACATTCTTTTCTGTGTAAGGAATATAGAACCAGATACGTGATGTTGCCAGATGGTTTCTTGTTTTTGTGGCTTATTACGAACATCTTGAAATCATCCTGAGATTCGACCGCCTCTATACTACAGAATCAAACAGCCTTCTTTATTTCTTTTGGATGTCAAAAAACACATTTCGTATAATATCTGTGTTTCGTTAACTTGTACAAATTGGGTTAAGAGAATTTTTGGTAGAATTATGCATAATATATTTGTACCCTATGCTTAACCAACTTGTACCTCATACTAGTTTTGTGTCTAAAGTTAAGTTTATATCTATATTGACATAGAGTTGAGAATCTAACTTAAAGGGTTAAAAACCGTCAAATAGTTAAACTTTATATATATATATATATATATATAATTAATTAAAAATATATATATATATATATATACATGAATGGATGAGGCGATTTATAAACCGTCTCAATCTCTCATCTCTTTTCTCTTTCTAAAAAATTCCTCGTTTTCTCTTTGAATTTTACGTCAAGTAAGTAAGAGGATCGAAGTAACAATTATATATTCGGAATCCACTCAACGAACCCTTCTTAAAGGTATAAATTTCATTCAATTTTATTAAGGTGTTTATTTTAGGGTTATTAAGACCGATTTATAAATTGTGTTTATATCAAAGTTTACGGATTGATTTTGTCAAAATTATGATATATTTGATGCTTATTATAGTTTCAATATGGTTAGATTGTGGGTATATGTTTAAATTGTTCGGTTAAATGTCGAAAAGAGTAAAATGCATGATTAAGCTTAGGTTAACGACCATTGGACTTGTTTTACTGTTTAGCATGTTGAAGTATGTTTATAGTATGTAAATGTAGCGAATCATGAAAGTTGGATCATAAAAGTTAGTCGGAAATTACGGAATCGACTTTTACCGACAAAACAACTCCTGTACTTTGATAGTGTATAACTCACAAACCGTAAGTCAGAATAAACTCGTATTTTGCAGACAGAAAGATCTTACTGCATACTACAACTTTCATGAAGGGTCAAAAATCCAGTTATGACTCTAGGTGGATCGAAACAGTGTGTTTTTAGGGCTGTTTACACTGTATTCGAGATTAATTTGCATTTTTATAAAATTCATATAAAATAGATGGATGATCCAAATGAGATGATTTTAAAGGCAATAGACTCGTATGATACACAACCTACAACTTTCATTTAGAAAATATAATCTGGATTGGTCTCTAAGTAAGATAAAAATGCTTAGAAATAAGAGGGTCGGAAACAGTTGGATCGAAAGAGAATAATGCTAAGTTTTACGTTTGAGTTTTCAATTCGTATCCGGCTGTCCTTCTTGAAGTCTACGTTGTTTAAGTACATTAAGACCTAAGTAATTTTATTAGAATAGTTATATTATGGTTTTTATGCTTTTTAAATAGTAACCCGATTATACATTCGTTAGGCACGCGGGCAAATCAAACTTGATCGTGAATTTCCGTTTGATCGTGCGTTAATCGTCAAATTCAGTTGAGGTACGGATTTCATATCTCACTTGACACAGGGATAGCCATTTGCGTAAGGCTTCCTAATCCAGATAATCTGTGATAAATTCCGAATAATTTGTTCTGAATTTCCTTTATGCTTATAAAATGTTATTGAACTTTGTTTCCCTTTGAACTACGACTTATATTTTTATTCGGAATATGGATCATTTTGATCATTTGACTTGTTTTGTTGCTTCATTTGTGGAATATTTTACTGTAGACTCAATAACTGGAGCACCGGTATTGAGATGTTTCCATGGTGACTAAAACGATTATGGCGTCCTTATCTTTATAGTCCTTAAAAGTGGACTTGATTATGTACCGGTCGAATAGAGGGTGTATGGATTGATCCTAGGAACCGTTATCGGATATTGAATTATGGCCGTGGTTAAATCAACGAAGAGCATTGCTGTGTTCTGCTCACACCCCTTTCCTCACTTGTGCCTGAATGGACTGATCATCCTTTGGGAACAATGTGTCCTTGTGATGCAGTTTGGTCTTCGGACCCTTGATATGCTTTTGGGGCATTTTGACTTTCTTTTGAATTATCACTTGGCGTTATAAATTGTTTTTGAACTTGTTATCTCATATTCATTGTTTAATTATTATTATCCGTTCACTGAGCATTAAGCTCAGCCGAKATTTTCTTGTCCTCGGYAGGTTCATGASTTAGCAGGGATTTTGGGATGAGAGCTACGAAGATGACAATATTGAAGATAACTCATTAAGTCATACTTTTGTTAAACTTTTGATGACTATTGTAGATATACTGATATTTTGGGACCGTATTTTGAGACACGTTATCTCCGTCTATGGTTATGTAATTATCTTTTGGTAAATTTTATTAGCTGCTCTGTTTTATATAGCGCATTTTTTTTTATTCCACTTGTGGCATCTCCCGTCTTTGACCACGCGGGACGGGGGTGTTACAAGTTGTGGTATCAGAGCTATAGGTTATGATCATGTAGTACAATATAGGTTTGATTAGTGAGAAATGGGTGGAACTAAGATAGGATTATTCTAGACTCTATATTTTCCCGAGGTGATAGGGATATGAAAAGAAACAGAGATGTGTTTCAAGGAGATTATAGCGGACGAGGAACCAATCTGATAGATCAGTGGAAACAACTGAAATACAATCCTCCAATTTCATCTAAAGGAACTTCTAGTAAAGGTTTTTCGAATACAACTTCTCTGTTACGGTGCAAAGATTGTGGTTTTAGACATCGTCCTGGCCCATGTATTCGAATGACCGGTGCCTGTTATACTTGTGGTCAACGAGGTCATATAGCTCGTGATTGTAAACAAAGGCCGAAAGATAATTCTAAAGATAAAGATAAGCAATCTACTGCTGGTGGTCGAGTGTTTACACTATCTGCTGACAAATCTACTGTGGGTATGGTTTCTAGTACCCTTTTTTATTGACAATAGAGATGCATATGTTTTATTTGATACAGGTGCTATACACTCGATTGTCTCTGAAAACTTTGAAGAAAATCTTAAATCGTATGAATAATCCATCGAGTTTCGTTTACATATTAGTACTCCTATGGGTAGTTCGGTATGTATATTTGGTCAATTCCCAAAGTATCCGTTATTTATTGGCGATTGAATTCGGGAAGTTACTTTACTTCCAATGAAAATGGATCACTTCGATATCATCCTTGGCATGAATTGGTTGTCTAAACATCGAGTGACCATCGACTGCAAAGCCAAACAAATCATCTTCGGTGACGTCAATAAACCTGAATACRTGTTCCARGGTGTTTCACCTGAGAAGGGAACTCGTGTTATCTCAGAAGTAAATGTTAAAGCAATGGTATGGCAAGGATGTGAAGGATTTTTAKCTTCACTACAAGATCCCGAAGAGGTATGCCTTAAACTTGAAGATATTCCTGTTGTTAATCAATTTCAAGATGTCTTTCCAGATGAACTTCTAGGAGTTCTTTCGGAAAGGGAAATTGAATTTATAATTGATTTTGTTCTGGGAGCTGCGCCTATCTCAAAGGCTCCGTATCGTATGGCTCCAACCGAAATGAAAGAACTTAAGGAACAACTTGAAGATCTTTCTAATCGTGGTTTCATTCGACCTAGTGTATCTCCATGGGGTGCACCGGTCCTATTCGTTAAAAAGAAAGATGGATCAATGCGATTGTGTATTGACTATCGGGAACTAAATCGGGTTACGGTACGTAATAAATACTCTTTACCTCGTATTGACGATCTATTCGATCAACTCCAAGGAGCAAAGTATTTTTCTAAGATCGACTTAAGGTCTGGATATCACCAACTCCGGATCAGAGATCAGGATATTCCGAAGACTGCATTTCGTACTCGATACGGGAATTACGAGTTCATTGTTATGCCATTCGGGTTAACTAATGCTCCAACAGCTTTTATGGATCTTATGAACCGAGCTTTCAAAGATCATTTGGACGACTTTGTTATCGTTTTTATTGACGATATTCTCATATATTCAAAGTCGAAAGAAGATCACGAAACTCATTTGCGTATTACTTTAGAAACTCTTCAAAATAAGAAGTTGTACGCAAAGTTTTTTAAGTGTGAATTCTGGTTGCATCAAGTGGCATTTTTGGGCCACATTATCTCCGGCGAAGGCATTAAAGTCGATCCTACAAAGGTTGAGGCTATCACTAACTGGCCAAAACCAACAAATGTTTCTGAAGTCCGAAGTTTCCTAGGTCTGGCAGGTTATTATCGACAGTTTGTTGAAAACTTTTCCTGGATCGCGCTTCCTATGACTAAACTTCTTCGAAAAGAATTTAAATTTGTTTGGGGTGAAGAACAGGAAAAGAGTTTTGAAGAATTGAGAAAGAGATTGATTACAACGCCTGTTCTTGCATTGCCATCTGGATCGGGAGGTTTTCAGGTTTATAGTGATGCTTCTAAAAGTGGTCTTGGCTGTGTTCTAATGCAGCACGGCAAAGTGATTGCGT